GAGTAGATGGGCATTGAATTTCTCCAGAAAAGATCCTTTAGCCTAATTAACTCATCCAAGATGTTAACAAGGTCAGTTTTGATCCATGTCAACTCAGATATTTGAGGTCCTGGAATTGAAGAGATAGGGTCAGTTGTGATGGATAAGCTTCTAGTGAATGACCATTCTCAGTAACGCTTGGTCATGGGTTGTAAGGTTCATCTGAATTAGTGCAAAGGATTCTAAAATCTATGTCTGACCTCTGGGCAGTGAAGAATTGACCTGAGATATACAATGGGGTCCAAGTCTAGCCAACAAGGTGGGGTTCAAGGACAGACTACAGGTCTGGTAGAGACCTGGGAAGCAGGCTATTTAAACTTGTAGCTGAGTGTGACTGGAAGAGTAGGACAGACACCACAGAACCATCACAAGTTTTTATGCATGTCTTTGCTTTTGATTCATCTTTTACTCTGCAGAGTGCTCATGCCTTCTTTTGCCTTCAACCATTTCCCCTATCTGGGCAACTGTATTTTTGGTCCTGATCATATGTCATATTGTTCAGAGACCATCATAATTTAGATGCTTCCTTTCACTCAAACACAACATCCAGAACCAGTCTGAGGAGTGAGAAACCTTTTCCTTTCAACTCGCTGAAATTACACCTGCCCCTTGCAGATAGAGAAGCAGTGTTACCAGCCCAGTGCTTTGGTGAGCTTCCTGTTACTGTGTGTTTATTTCCCAGTCAGGTTGCCTTTTGCCTCTACAGTCTCTCTTGTGGGGCTTAGGAACTGGCCTCCCTCCTCCCTTCTTAATGCTGTGCTGTAGTACCTGAACCAACAAACATCATGGGTTTCTGCAAAATGATGGTGTCCCTTCTCAGTGTCCCCCAAGTTCCAATTTTATGAAATATCACACATTCCTTTTAATTTTTCTATAGGGAAACTTTTTTCTTTTTTTTAAATTTTTATTTAAATTCAGGCAAAACTGTCAACAATAGTCAAATTACGGAAAGAACCCAAATGTCCATTGACTGATGAATGGATAAAAAAGATGTAGTATATTTATATACAATAGAATATTACTTGGTGATCAAAAAGAATGACATCTTGCCATTTGCAACAACGTGGATGGAACTAGAGTTTATTATGCTAAGTGGAATAAGTCAGTAATAGGGAAAATTTTTTAAATTTCATTTTAAGTGGGAAAAGTATAGTTTCAAAAAGTAAAATCCCTGATGTGTTTTGGAGTTTAATTAGCATTAGGCCTGATCTTATTTAGGTATATTTGTCTCTGCAACTCTTTTATTCTATATAATCATTGCCTTCAATTAATAAGTATTCCTTCTTCAGAAGAAAACTCTCTCTCTCTCTCTCTCTCTTTCTCTCCTTCCCTCTCCCTCTTCTCTCCTTCCTCCCTTCCCTCTCTGTCTTATACCCCATTCTATGGAAAGATATCAGAAAATAAATTAGTACTACAATCTATAGCTAAAGAGTTTTTTCCCCTCTCTATATACATTTTGGTTCTAGAAGGAAATTTGGCAAAGTTTACCGAGACAGTGAACTAGCAATTCCATATGAAGGAGTTTATTTTGAGGAGAGAACAAGGAATGCTCTCAAAGATTTAAGTCTAGGATACTTGTAATTATTAAAAATGGAAACAATGTACATCTTAAAATAGGGAAATGGTAAAATAAATGATTATAGCCATTCAATATAATGCATCCATTTTTAATAGATTAAAAATCCTATTTTGCAAACTATTTCATGAAATGGAAAATGCACATGAGATGATGTTAAGGAATGAAACAAAAAGAGCAACTACTGAAACTCTTTTTATTATGATCCAAAATTTTATCCTTAAAAATGGATAAAAATTTATGTGGCATAAATAACACAGATAGAAAAAGCCAGTGTAAGCTAGCATTCTAGAATTTTAACAGGTTTATTATCAGTAGTGGGATGGTAGATAATTTTTACATTTTCTTTACAATTTTATGTATTTTCTAAATGTTCTTTTGGGAAGATGTATTATTTTGTTCATTCATTCACTTAACAAATGTGTAGTGACGGTTCAGTGCATAGCACTCTGCCTTGTCACGAGGAGATAAAGTAAACAAGACAGAACAGACCTGTTCCTTGCTTTGCGTAGAGTTTATAATCCCTTCAAAGTAGGAGGAAAGGGTTTTGTTTTGTTTTTTTTTCTTAATTCATTTCATTTGACCCAGTAATTCCACTTCTGGGAATCTATCCTAAGGAAATAATCAAGAAAGCAAAACAAAATAATCATACAGAAATGTTTATTAGTGTATTAACCATAAAGCAAAAATATTTAGAAATCACCTAAACACCCAACAGTAGGAGGATGGTTAAAGTAATAATAGCACATTCATATATTGGTATAAGATTATGTTACTGAAAACTTTTTAATAATATGGGAAAATGTTATTAATGTTTTCCATTACTATCAATGGAAAAAAGTAAGCTGCAAAATTATACAGAATCTGACCTCAGTTATGTAGTGTAATAGTCATAAAAGAGAAATTAAAATGTTAATAGGTGTTATTTTTGTATGGTGATGTAATGGTTGATTTGTACTTTTGTGTATGTGTTCTTCATATTTCCCGAGGTTTTGCAATGAAAAGGTTTAATTCTATAATAAGGAAACCCATATTGCTTTTGTTTTTTAAGACTTGACTCAAATTATCTGTTAAAAACTCAAGGAACATACAAAAAGATAATTAAAGTTTGCACTGCCTTGGTGGAGAAAGGAGAGATAATTAATATGCTGACAGCTTACAGACCCTTTCCTTTCTAAAACATTTTTGGGAGAGAATGGATGACCATGCATGCAGTGGACCTACCTTCACTGTACTCATGAGGCTGAGCAAAGAAAATTAGAACAAGCACTTGAAGGGCTTGGGGACAGAGCCCTGGAGCATAATCCCAAACTCTACCTTGAATTCTAACCTTGAGTATGATGTTGATAATCTCCCTGGGCTGAATCTGAACATTAGGGACTTGGGGGCATTTCTTGCTCCTGTCATTTTCCTCAGCTCAGTTACCAGGGCTCCTTTGACCTCATTAAGCAGCTGTCATGCAGTGGCAGGGTCCTGTCTATGGTTTGCCTCAAAAGAACAATGGAGCCTGAGATGCCAAGGTCAAGGCAGCTAAAATCTGTCTTCCTACCCAATCTGACTTCTGCCCCTAGACTTCTAAGTTCATGGGGAAAGAACACAGCTGTGGAACATGTCATTTCTCGGTAAGCCGAAGCAAGAGAGCTGTCTGCTGATGCTCCATCAGCTACTGAATGCTCAGGAGCTCACTGACTGACAGATCTTCCTTGAGCTCACACAAGGCCCAAGTGCATTTAAAATACCAACTTTCCCTCTAATTTAAAGTTCATCAAGGCTGAATGAAATCACACGAGGCTTCACTGCACCTATATTCATTCATATGTCATGCTATGGGTTTTCTAAATTTAAGAGGTCTGCTGGGCAGTTAAAGGAGCAAGTCAGTGCAGAAAGATTTATGGGCATACTTCACTTTCAACAAACTTAGTATCTGAACACTAAAGTAGCATAAAAGATAAATTTACAAAAGAGCTCATTTCACTGCCACTTTGAGTAATTGGTTTACCTTCTACATTTAGAATATAAATTGATTCATCACAACCTGTCTTACACACAATGTACCAAACACACAGAGTTGCATAAAGGAGATGTACATGGAACTTAGAAACCAGCATTTGGACACCACTTCAAAAGCTGATTTCTTACATTTCTCTGATTTTAAAGTGTTCATTGACTACAGAAGCTGAAAAAGACCTCAAATCAATTGCAAATCATGAACAATCTTTATGCTAAAATAATTTAGTGGTTTGGGAATTTTAGGGGGGATTTATCTCCTAGGTCCTTCTTTCGGTTTCTCATAATTCATTGATCTCAGTAAGGCCATCCAAAGAACCCATTTTAAAGTCATAATGGCAGGTGTTTTAAATATACTTCCCCATCCCAGATAAGCATTGAATATTTGTGCACACATAGGTAAACACATTACAGGCCTATAACACTCACAAAAATGTCACTACAGAGGAAGATGTGCTCTACTAATGGATTTTCCATCCTGCCACCTGAGGAGCCATTCGTTCCAGAACGCTAGCCCTAGTGTTTGAAAATGCCAACATTTTCCTTTTCAATCAGCTTCTGAAACCCTAGTTGGGTGCAGGAAAGAGTTTTCAATTGCCTTTGCCAAGCACGTTTCTCTGTGGATACAGGTTAAAAACATTGACCTTACATGACAAGAGAAATTTAGAAAAACTCCTGGGTAAGCTCCCTGGGTCCTTATTTGTGGAGTTCCTGACGAACAGTCTAGCTGCATCTCATTGCTGAATGAGAGCTCCAAGCAGCATAGATGGAGCTGAATTAGAATCCTGAGTATTTTATGATTCTAATGAAATGTTCTTCCCATAGATATAATATTGGAGAGCTGAGGTGGGAGCAGAAAGTCCCTGAATCTTCAGGAAAAAGTGAAAAATGAGAAATTTTACCTAGGCACACTTAAAACTGGAAGAGACCAAGAGGCTGCCCAGGAGAATAGTAGGCTTGCAGGGATTTACAAAGCCCTAGGCAAGGGCCAGCACTTGGTCAAGGCCAGGGTAGACTCTTCAGGCTTTCAGGGTAAATGAGAGGAAGAATATACAGAAAGAAACAAAGCAGTAGTTGAAAGGAACCTATCAAGAAGATGAGTGCCAAAGGGATGAAGAAAATAGGATTAAATGAAGGAAAAAGGAGATGTATGAAGAAAGGAAGACTCACAATGAGTGAAAAGAGGGACAAAAGGAAAGAGAATATAGAAAAGAAAATGATGAGATAAGATCAACAACTGATTCAACTAGCTGTCAATAATAACCGCAGGGTCCAGGTGACCAGTCTCCACTGAACCAGGCACAGTGCAACCCAGAAGCTCACAGCAATGCCAACTGGTATGGACAATTTCTCCCTTTTCCAAAAAGGGCAAGCTCACCTATCGAAGGCCACAGCCGTCATGGAGTAGATGCTGGCGAAGACAGCAGCGATGGGGAAGAAGTTGTGGAACTTGCAGTAGAACAGGCCATAATACCATTCGTTGTGGACAGCATAGGTGAAGTTCACCACCGTGTTGAACGCAGCCATAGATGCCTCTGCGAAAGCCAGGTTCACCAGGAAATAGTTCGTCACTGTCCTCATTCGCTTGTGGGCCAGGATGATCCACATCACCACCACGTTGCCCACAACGGAGGTCACAACGATGACCGTATAGGCAGCTGCCCAAAGGACAATTTGCCAGGCCGGCTGCACGAACTGGTTGGGCTCCGAAGTGTTGGTGGAGATGTTTGGGAAGAGATCTGAGTCAACCTGGAGAACGTTATCCATTCCTCTGCTAGGCGGTTAAGCCCTCTTCTTTGCACACACCCTGTCTTTGCAGCAGGCCCTGAGGCTGACGCCTGGGGTCAGGGTCCTGCTTAACCAAGACAGGAGGCCTGCAAGCTCTTTCTGGGCAGAACTCTTTCCTTGCAAGCAGAAGAGTTGGCACTCAGAGGATAAACGCTTTCCGATGCGCTGTCTGTCTGCTCCTCGTAGCTCTGAATTCCTCCACTTTCAAGCTTCAGGAAGCATTTGAGTTCAAAAATCCGGAGATAGCGCCTCTCCTGCGTGGGACTAGGAAAAGGAAAGAAATCCCACGGACCACTGTTCCAGGAAGCAGGAGACCCTCGCCTTTCTGCACCTGCTGCTATTTGCAACTCCTGTTCCCCTGCTTGCAGCTGGAAATGCAAAGCCCTGTTCTGCAGGAGGACTGGGGTCAAAAGGGGGTGTTCGTCACAACGCGACGTGTAAAAGTTCTGAGGATTCTGGGGCCCCGTATCTGGCTGGAGATTTTTCCTTTGCTTTCGCTGCGCTGCTGCTGCTGCTGGCGCTGGCGCCGCCGCCGCCGCCGCCGCCGCAGCGGCGGTCCGCAGCTTCACAGGCGCCTCTTTGGCTCGGGTCCTGCTCGGCTCGGGAGTTAGCAGAACCTCGGCAGGCTGCGTGCAAGGTTTTTATAACCCTCTGCAGAGACGTCACCGGCAAGGGGCAGTACCTGGGCTGCGTACTCGCCAGTCCCGGTGCGCAGCGCAGCAGCTGAGCCAGCTGTTGGCAACTGTCTCACTCCACCAACGCAGCCACCACGCCTCTTGCTGCTACCTGCTGTGGGAGTCTTTAAGCCGGAGGTGGGTGGGGGGACGCACTCCGCGAGGGGGCGCTAGGTAGCCTCGGAGTAATTGCGCCAAACGGAGTCTGCAGCTGGAACTAGAGAAAAGAAGGATTTGCGAAAGAGCTGTAGTGATGGACAAACAACTTCCAGGGAGAGCAGCCCGGAGCGCTGCGACAGCTCTGCAGAGGCGCCTGCCTGTGGCTGTCGGAGTCGGGCGAGTGTGGTGGCGGCGTGCCAGCGCTGCGCTCCGGGCCTCCCTCCAGCCCGAGTGCACCAGGGCTCTCTCTGTCGGCTACCTAGAAGGAAGAGGCAACGATGCCCAGTTCCAGGTGTCCGGGAAAACAACTTTTCTGAGAACGTGTTTAGGAAATATCCCCAAATAACCTAGTTCCTTTCTCTGGGTAGGCCGCTTCCCCTGAGGAAGCAGTGATAGACTTTACGCTTTGGGGACACCTTCCCCGGCTCTCTGGTGGTTTGGCCCCTCGGTCCATGAAAAGCTCCAGCTGAGTTCTACAGATGAGCCCCAGCACAGGCAACAGGGACTGGGCTGGGCTCCCTGCGAAGCTTAGTGAGCCCAGGAGCCACCTATAAGCAGTGTGTCGTCCAAGACGCGCCTCTCTGGGCTCTCGGCCAGCACCCACTGCGGCCTCGCATCCATCGCCTAGCAGCCTCTGTCTCAGCGCCTCCCCGGCCTGCTGGCCAGAGCCGAACCGGGTGGCGTCGGGGGGGGGGGGGGCTCCTTCCCTTACCCCCCTCAGGTTTGCAAAGGGACTGGAGGGACACGTCTGTCTTCCCTCTCTCCCCACCTCCAGCCTGCCTTCGGCGGGCTTCAAGGCTTCATCTGTCAGTCCAAGGCCATTTCAAAAGACTGAGCTGGAGTCAGGCGTTGGGAAGAGGTGGGAGAGACTCTCCAGGGAGTGCGAAATCATTTGAAGAAGCCGAGATGGCATGAGGTTCGGAGCGCGGTCCAGCCAGAGTGCCTAGGAGACACGGTTCCGCGGGGAATCGAATCTTTCGAGGCTTTCTGGGGGCTACTACCCCTCCGCCTACCGTCGCTCCCTCCCCCTTTTCCTGCGGGGCACTCAGAACCCTGCGACGCTTCTGAGGATGGGTAGCGGTGCTCCGCGTAGAGGCTCGGGATGGCGCAAGCCTGCACTCTCCCGGGAGCGGCCTTTACGCACTAGTCCTGCCCGGTTGCGCGCCTCACCTTCGAGCGAGCAAAGTATTTGGCAAGAAGCGTTTTTAAGGCTTGGAAATTTATTGTAGCGATTTATGCCGGGCTGAAGTCGGATCCATTCACGGGGCGAGGTTGGCGGGGGGGGGGGGGGGGGGGGGGGGGGGGGGGGGGGGGGGGGGGGGGGGGGGGGGGGGGGGCGGCGAGCGATGTGGAGGAATCTGCTAGTTCACGTTGATTTTGTTGAAGCCTAGAATGTCAGCGTTTATATGAACCACACCTTGCACTGCCTGGTCCTCCAGGCACCCCTAAACCCGAAGAGAAAACCAATTTAGCCAATAGATTGTGAGTGGAAATGATGTGTCGCTTCTAGGCTGAAGCATAGGAGAGAGAGATAGAGAGTCAGAGTAAGAGATTTCTCCATGTAGTCTCTTCTGCCAAGTCCCAAATGATGCAGCCACAAGAAGACAAGTCTTGATTACCTTGAATTCCCAAGTGACTATAACGCAGGACACTGGCCAGTCATTTTGGACATGTAGCATGAGTAGGAAATAAATTTTCTTGTATTAAGGAACTAGGATTTGGGATTAATTTGTTACTCACCATGATCTAACTTATCCTGAATAATATAGGAATAAAATATTCTGATATCTGGTAATTCAGGTTCATCTGGATGCTCATTTCATGCTTAAAATCCATTTGGAACATCACATTTAAATTTTAATATTTTAAATTCAATTTAAAAATTAAACAGAATAAGCTGCATCAGCATCCTAATTAGAATTGTCTGGAATTTATCCAATTTTGACAAAACTGACATTTTTTTATATTAATTTTTTAAATCCAAGAATATGGTATGCCTTTCCATTTATTCAAGTCCTATTTATGCCTTTCAAAAAAGATATTATAATTTTGGTTAAAATAGGTCCAATCTTTTGGTTAAATTTCTTTCCATATATTCTGTAGCTTTTGTTTTTTTTTTTAAATGTTTTATTTATTTCAGAGAGAGAGAGAGAGGCAGCGTGAGCAAGGGAGGGTCAGAGAGAGAAGGAGATACAGAATCTGAAACAGGCTCCAGACTCTGAGCTGGCAGTCAGCACAAGAGTCCGACGCGGGGCTCGAACCCACGAACTGTGAGATCATGACCTGAGCCGAAGTCTGTCACTTAACTGACTGAGCGACCCAGGCGCCCCTTGTTTCTGTTTTAAATGAAATACTTTTTCCTTTTCTATCCTAGATCAAAGAAAACCCATTGACTTCTCTGTATATGTGTTTGTGTGTATGTAGGTATCCTAGTCATTTTACTAAATTTCTTGTTTATTCTAGTGCTTTTTATTTGAGTTCCTTATATTTTCAATCACATCATTAGCATATTCTTGTCTCACTGAATTTCCTTTACCTTCTAGAACAATGTTAAAATTGATGATAGCAGATATTTCTGTATAGTTTCTGAATTTAAATTAAGATGACTTTGAACTTTAACTATTTAAATAGAATAAGATTTGTTGTAAGATTTGCTAAATAGTCTTCTATGTTTAGTTTCCTTCTACTTTATTTTTCTTGGAAGTTTAAATAGGAATATCTTGTAAATTCTTTTATTTTAAATGTCTTTTTCAGGATCATTGTATAATTTTTTTGACTAATTTGTTGACATAATGGATTAAACGAATAGATTTCCCAACACAGAGTAAACATGGTCTCACCCTAGCATTCCTGGCATAAACTCTGCTTGGTCTGAGGCTATATTATTTCTTTGATATATTGCTGAATTCAACTTGCTAATGATTTATTTAACATTTTTATATCTGTTTCTCTAGAGATTGATGTAGAGATTTTTTTAAAGATATTATTAGTGATATGCATCAAAAAATGGATTGGGAAGCATCTCATCTCTAACTATGGCAAGAAATAGTAGTCCTGGTCCCCAAATAACCCAGAAACTAGTAGGAAGTTTAAGTCCTTGGGCCAGCCCAGAACTACTAAACGATAATCTGCATTTTTGTAAGACCTTAGGTATTTGTATGCACATTAAAGTTTGAGGAACTGAAAATAGGTCCATTGTTTTCCAGATTTCTTAACAATAAGAATCTCTTGAGTTGCTTTTTAGTAAACATTATCATGTTCCCCAGAAAATCTCATTTTGTTGATCTGGGTCAGGACTCAGCAATTTGTGTTTTTATCAAGTACCTTGGGTCAGTCTTCTCTTCAAGCACATTTTTAAAAAAAAATTTTTTTTCATGTTTTTATTTATTTCTGAGAGAAAGAGAGAGACAGCGTGAACAGGGGAGGGTCAAAGAGAGAGGGAACTATAGAATCTGAAACAGGCTCCAGGCTCTGAGCTAGCTGTCAGCACAGAGCCCGACACAGGGCTCGAACCCACGAATCATGAGATAATAACCTGAGCTGAAGTCAGATGCCCAACCGACTGAGCCACCCAGGCGCCCCCAAGCAAGTTTTGTAAATATGTTGGCCTTTTACTTTAAACAGCATGAAACTAGATGAGTCCTTTCTTCATCTCAAGGAAATTTTCAGCTAGCATTTTTTTTTTTTTTTTTTTTTGTAATTATTACTTCTTCTCCATCAGTCCTTTTTTCTCCTTTGGAGACTGTCATTGTTGTAATTCTAGGTCTCCTAGATCCATCCTCTGAATGTTTTAAAAATTATTCCTGCCCCCATTCTCAGATTTGAGTATCCAGGTTCTTCTGTTTTGGCTCTTTCTCCAGGTTCAGATGCTGATCTCCCAGCAAAGTCCAGTTCAACTGTTCTCTTAGCCCAACCCCACAGAGCCCTACCCCAAGACTCACTTATGTCTAGCTGTCCTTAAGGCTTGAAACCATGTGGCTGATTGGAGAGGACATTGGAATTGGCTGGGAAAGGGAGGGCAGCTACGTTCAGGTCCCCATGAGTCAGTCCTCAGGTCTCCTGAAGCCACTGATGTGGCTGCATCCCCATCTTCCTCCACAGTGTGCATGAGTTATTGCCATTAGCCACTGGCTCCCGTCCTCAGCC